CCCGCCTGGGCGAGTCCGTGCGAACCAAGACGAACGGCCTGTACGGGCATCGAAGGCACGGAAGCACATCAACAGCTGTGCACTCGAACCAGCCTGGGACACGGACAACCATAATCGTAGACCCCGAGGCACACCACCAAGGCGTGAACGAGAGTGGAACCATGGTGGAAAGAACGTACCGTGTTCTTTCCAGCAGGACTAGCACGGTCCCATGAGCACAAGGTGGGGTAGGACGGCGACGTCGGAGCGACATGTAGTACAGCATTAGTAGTCAAGTGGCCGCGCCTGGCAACCATTCACAGACACTCTCCTTACGACCCCTGAAGTGAGGTCTATGCTATGGCGCTGGCTTCGTGGAAACGATCTGGCTGCAACCTTTCGAAGCCGCTCGCACTCTTGGTCTCGCAGTGGATACGTCGTCCACTCCAGGCCAAACCTAGCATCAGTACGGACTCTGGGCAAAATTGAACAAAGGCCCTGTACGGCATGAAATGGTCGCACGTATCATAAATGCCTTCAATGCCCCCATCAGGCTAGGCCAACATACAAAGAACCAAACCGCCGCTTCCAGCACCTACGCACGTAGGCCACATACGGGACTGCAGCATCTGCGACGTGCTATGCGATGGCGCAACAGTCGCATAGCCGCACCACACGCATGTGGATTAGCGATCGTGAATTGGCGATACAACAAGCACCAAACAAGACCAGCCGCGTTCCCGGGACCGATTGCGCCGTGGCTCCTCTATTCTCCAAGAGTGGAAGAGACTCGACAAATGAACGTATTGCTGGGTAGTCCTTGTCGTGTGGCAGCCGCAGTAGAGGACTAGAATCAAGATGGTAGATTTCCTATAATATGAAAGATAGAGACTATGGTCTGGATATAGCAGAATTGGTCGAGAAGTCTCCTGCGGCCACTGTCTGCTTGTCTGTGTACGGAGCACAGGGCCGGAGGATACTTCACATTCCCATAACAAGTTTCTTTCGGGTCGACTTGCTCGTCATGAGCAACGTAGTCTGGAGCGGCATCACAATCTCGCTGACCTGTTTTGTCAGAGTATTCGCTTTAACATCACACCGTCAGCGTACCCAACTTTGTCTTGTCATCTTACACGCGCCATATGCCCCACCCCTTTCTCATGCAGCCTGGTTCTTCGGCATGATGATAACAGTAGGCGACTACTCGAGCGGCCATGTCACGGGACATGGTTCGGGTACTTAAAAAATCTTAGACACGGCAGCAACTGCGTCCCGTTTTCTTCCTTTTACCATCATTCATCCTTCCTTACTCCCAAATTCGGACTCATGGCAGACTCACGAGATCTCAACGCGCCGGACGGCACTTTTGTCAAGTCCATTAACTCGCGTCAGCCTATGAACGCCAGCAACTCGCACCTACTTACGGATCGGGAGCCTTGTCAAGAGCAGATTCTCATGATCACATTTCAGCTGGCTTGGGAGCTCCGCAAGCTCAACCCACAAGCTTGGCCTGCCAAACTCCCTACCGTCGCGAGCCTTTGTCTGAACAGTCACGCTATCAAAGATGAACGATTCCTGCGGCTCCTCACCTCGGCTCTTGAAAAAGCCCTTGCTCTCGGGCTTCACGAAGGAATTGGAGACGGACTGTACCAAAACATGCGACTTATCCAGGGCGACAGATTTGAAGGTTTGATTTTGACTAGCAGGGGCTTTCCAATACTAACGTAATCTAGACGAGGATTGGCAAATTCGTCCGTCGGGCTATAGGACAGACCGTATACGATGCCCGTCCGTCCCCTCACCCCGTCACTTGAGAGTGGCCAATAGGGGACACCGTTTACGTCAGACTCAGCACCTGAAGAACGGTTCGGCTGGAAACTGAAAACGACTTGAGTACGGTCAGTGCCCACTGGGGTTGAATCGCTTATGGGCTCCTGAACGGGGAGCCCATAGGTGCACCCAGGCGCGCATATGAGATTTATTATGTAAGCTGCGGTTATCATAGTCGCCGACGCCTGTATCGTCAATAACTTCAATAACTTCACTCGTTCACGCAGTTATTAATAAAAAAAACAATATCTCGAGATCATCAATCAATTCGAAGTATCAACGTCTTGTTCTGCGAATCTCCTATTCGGGCTCAATCGCATTGCGTTGTCGTTCGTAATAACCACATAAAGAAGCGTGCATCATTATCACGGCCCCCTCGCTTACAGCATAGGTCGCATCATGGGTGTGGAACAAGGGGTGCGCGTTCCTCATCCACAAGTGGCTGCTCGATGTATACGGATGAGGGTTGTTGATCAGTGTTCGCTCAAGGAGGTGCGGGACCATTGGTATGGATCCACGCCATAGTGCTGCACGGATTAGTGGCGATTATGCTAAGCAAACAGGTGATTGACGACGGCAAGAAATGGCCGTCGATGGCGGGTCGTTGACGGACTTGGCTCGCCAACACCCCTGTTGCGTGGGCACCGTTTTCCGGTGAACCTGGGCTCAGATCGTCTGACGGGTCTCCGGCTTCGGCTAGTCTTAGACGTGGCCGTTTCTTGCTTTCGTTCACTCACATTGCACTGGGGTCAATTCGGTGGGAGGGTTTGTAGAGTCATAGATGAATATTGTACGGAATCATACATAAGATGCTGAATGATTGGCCGAGCTAATGTAGCCGGACCACCTGCGCCTGTGATTCGGCCTGTGTAGACACAGCGTAGGTCACGAATGAGATACGGTTATCACCACGGCCCTAGATTGTACCGTGATACGGTGCACACAAGGTCCGGACAATTCGAAAGGAAGGATCCACCGCTTCCACACGCTCCTGCCCTTATAGCACATGAACTATCACATAATCGCCCTTGAGTACCTCACTCCGGGGGAACGCAGCCCTACACGTTAGACACCCATTGCCTGAGTCAAGCCATAGCATGAGGCAACTCTCGCATTAGCAGTGGCCGCAGGGTGTAAAGGCTGACGAGCACGCGAGCCCGCCCCGGAAGCATATCTGTCTGATCTAGGACTGTTTCACCCTCCGCCGGCGCTTTGTCGCCACGCACTGGTGACAGTAGAGCTGGGACACGTTAGAAAAATCTTGACTGACAAAGGCAGCGAGCGTACTTACAAGTCTCAAACCGCTGAGCCGCCATTTCGGACCTCTCGAGAGCCTCTTGCTGCAGGAGCCGCACCTTCGTCGGAGGAACATCTCACCATGTGGTGACAGTGAGAAGGGAAAAGAGGGCTCGTAAGCTGTGTCAGCGTGCCGATGAGATTGAGGGATGCGGCTGTGAGGCGAGATCTGCGACATATATCCCCTCCGTGCGCCACCCCTGCCAGGCCCAAGAGGCTTGTGCTTACGCCCCACGGTACAATACGATACGCACCTCGAGCTGTACTGTCCGCTGTATGGCAGCTCAGCGTGGAAGGTGTCGGGACAAGCACAGAGCAAAGAACGTGGACTGTTCCCTAGGCGTCGGGGACTTGTTTATAAGGCGTTTCAAACGGTGTGTAATAATTCTTTCTGTGAACACAATTAAGTAGCCACTTTTCTACGAAAGATAGGTACCCTCAAACGGCCCCCTAGACGTCGACGTTTATCACGCTCATCCTGTCTGTCGCTCGTTTTTCATAGGACCATTGCCCGTATTAAACATAAGGGCGAGCACCGGGTTGAAGTTCGCCGTCCCTCGTTCCTCTCCGTAGAGTCGTGGTTTGATATCGTTACCTCTCCTTCCCATCGATATGAACAACCAATTTGGTCCCCCGGGAAACGCAGGCTTCGAATCATGGCGCCGAAGACCCGAACCTATTAGTCCTAATCGAGCACCCTCAGCGGCCGAACAGCTGTTGCACCAAGTCAATAGCCAGCCATGGCAGCGGGGTAGCTACGGTCCACCGAACATGGACTATCCTCGGACAAGCCTGCGTGCTCCAAGCTCCCTGTCTGTCAAAGCAATAGTCCATCCTCGCAGAGCACGCCAGTTGACCACCTTGCATAGATCAACCCATGGTGGTACACCGCACGCCTGGCAGGAGGAGAACGAGAGACTCAAAAACGAGTACGTCACCGCAAGCGTTTGTGTTTCGAGACTAACAGTGTGTGGAGGTTACAATTCATCATCAAAGCGTACGCCTATCCCTTGGGTCCGTGGGCCGATAGTAACACGACACAGACACCAGCACCTAATGGAGAGGTTTGTCTCCTTTACTAAAGCATTCGTCTTCCTCTCAAAGCTGATCGCATTCCAGAATCTCGGAGCTGGAGCGTCAGAGCTGTTCGAAAACGTAAGAAACATCGTCGGCGCAATGCCACAGGCGAACTAATCTCGATCAAGGTGTCTTGAAAAATGGGAAAGAATGGAGGAGCATCTACAGCGCATTTCTCACCAGATCAACCTCAACCATGACACCGTCGACCCGACCAACCTCATGGGCAACCCACTTTCTAGTACCTAGTCATGGCGCTGCCGTCGGTGACGGGCTCTGTACAGGCTAAGGACAAGCAGGCTGGGTGCCGGACGGGCCAAGGGCTTGCTATGCTGGCCGTGCCGCATACGATAGCTGGAGTCAGTGACATAGTGTAGAGGGAACAGGCCTAATACAGTAGGCGCCTGCAATCATTCATTCATTCTACCTGTCACTTTTCTCGGCGCCCAAGTCCGCGCACTGGCTGATCGCAGTCGGCCACGCATCGTCTACGTTGTCGTTCCTGCCCACTTCCACTACTGCAATGTGAAGGAGTTTCATGTAAGTGGCACGCCGCTTTCTCACCTGCGCATCCAAGTCGCATCACTTGCGTGTGTCAGTGACCATCCGTACATTCGTATGCGCACCTAGCAGGCTGTTCACCAGTTCCGCCCACGAATAAGGCAGCTTTCGTCCCAGTGCCCCATTCTGGACCCAGGCTGCGTCACAACGACATGCCCAATTCTGGATACAGCAGCAACCGCAGGCAACGGCGGGTATATAAGCTTCGGTGGCTTGCTTTGAAGACGAAGCGGCTCGCGGTACTCGTCTTCGCTATGAAGGGTCTGCGTCTAAAGAACCGCTTCTCTCGTTGCGCCAAGGACCGTCCGCCATCGCTCGGCCCCGTAGACTTTGAGATACGTGCACTTGGCGGGGGTACGACGAGCACCTTGCTCTTCCACGAGCTGCCTCCGAAAGGAGCAACAACTCATCAGAACCGTATAGCGGAGTTGCACGAGGAAATCAGGTGCCTGAGCAACGAGGTGGCCTACTACAAGGCTCTCACGGACGAGGCGCTGTCGCGGATCCTGCCCGTTGTTCAATTCCATGCGCGCGACCTGCACGACGCCGTCCAGCGATGCAATGCAAAGCTCGACACTCTTTTACCCGAGAGATACAACGAGGAGCCGGTGGACATTGGGGGCGTCGAGCGTTGATCCGGTAGCGTTACCACGATTTGGCCGTCCAAGGAATGCTAGCCACGCTGTAGAGCATCATCCATTCATCTATCTCGTGGTGTCCACACATGTCCTTGCAGCACAACCCGTCCAAATCCCCTTACCTGTCTGTCTTGAACGAGGCCTCGCGGTGCAGCCGGCCGCGATCTTTCGTGGCACCCGTCGTTCCCGATGGCCCCCTCTTTCTGCGCTTCCTTGAGCTTCGCCACTCGGCCCTCAACTGCCGCAGCGTCTCGCTATCCAAGGACGTCTGCAGATGTGGGTAGATATAGCCCTCCTCCGAACTGCGCGGGCTGGTCTCGCTAGGCTTCGTCGCTTCATCTTCTGAGACGTGCGAGTCCACGCCCACGCCTGTGGCGGGTTCGCCGTCTCGGTCAACGCACAGGCCTGCCATGGCAATCAGTAATCCATGCGTACAAGAACACGACAGGTACGCGCTGACAACTATCCGAGGCTGTCGCTGGGCCAGCGGACCTGTTCGTCGTCCCTACATCGTGCGTAGGTTCGTCAGCGTCATGTGCAGACGCGGAGCGTTGGTCGGCTCCGTCTGTCAGATTACTCTCCTCAGGAGACATGTTGCCAAAGGAGACTAAAATGATGAGCTGCGATTCCAGGACATCTAGCGCATTGCGTCTGTATAGACAACGGCGTGGCAGCCACAAGCGGATGACCAGTACAGACCCGACAGTTGGTGGGACGGCCGGCTTCCGCAAACTGAGCCCTGGTAGGACTAGCCATCCCACAGCCTGAATATGCGGTTCGTTATGGCCGAGAGCTATGCGTCGGTCGCTCAGCGTGGGACGCTGGTCCAAGGTCGCGGAGGTTAAAAGACTATGCTCTCTCGCTTCTGGCCATCTCCTCTTTCCTCGACCATATTTCCAGTCAGACCCTGCGAAGCGGGCACAGAAACATGGCACGAACTGTGGTTCCGAGCGTTGCGTTGGGTATGGCCCTCTTCCGCCTGGACGGCTCTGTGGCTGACATAGCTTCAAGACCAGCCAAGCCCCTTTGAGGCACGTCCTGGCATGTGCCGACAAACCGCGCTGCTGGATGCACCGTTATTTGACATCGCGCTTCCGACTACACCGAGTAATGCAGAGCCTCATGTCGCGCATCCACCGCGTTTTGAGAGGGTTCGTATTCCTCGGGCCATCGCGTTGTCCGATCGCAGGCGCGTCTTTGCCTGCCACTTGGCATTGCAACAGGGATTGACCCGTGGGCTGCTGGTTACTACTGCGTTGTGTCGGCCCAGGACGCCCATTTCGCTGGTGATAGCCAACCACGAACGTGGCGCGTAGTGGCCGTGCTATCAGCTGTTATGCCACACAGTGATCGGGCGACATCGTGATACCAGTCGCACCTTCTTGCAGCGGCTGGCTGCACTTCCTGACATCCAATCACATGGGTTGTTTGATTTTTCTGAAAGGGTAGGAGGTAATACGCAACCAATATAGGTACACCAGGATAAACGTTAAGGATTATGCCTTTACTGATAGATACATATAGCCTTTGAGAGACGAAAACGGCACTAGATAGGTAATTTGACAGTATAACACTCGCTTGGGGTGAGTAGGACGCATACACGTCGGGACAATGATAAGAATAGGGTAGTCATTTCTAGGTCGATGCCTGG